TCATGAACTCTGCTTTTACTGGCAAACTGTTACTAAGCGACTGGTTTTTTCGAGTTGTATTACCGTTAACTCTACATAATAAATTTAATATTTATGAATGGTGCATAATACACCCTGTTACGGTAATAAATGTTTCACACGTTTAATTATGTATTCAATTCTATTTACTCTTTTAACAGAACCATCTTGTGGTCATTAATTTGGCATTTTTATAAATTTTGAAAATAACCACTGTTGCTTTTAAATATTTACAAGGCTGTAATATAGCAACACTCGTTATAATTTCGATGTTAAAATCTTTCATAATGATTACATTTAGCTAGAAAGTATAGTCGCCAACTATTTTTCAATTTTTTATACACTTAAAGTTTTTTATAGTGCTAATCTCTGCACTTAAGATTGAACATTAAATCATGTAGAAAAAGTACGAAAAGATATCGCCGCTGTGGGAATCGAACCCACGTCTTCGGCACTCGCGGCCTTAATTTTCAATCTTAAGTGCAGAGATTAGCACTATAAAAAACTTAAAAATTTATAAAAGCAATGGCGACATCTCTCGTTCGAATTATCTTTGTAAAACGATATTCGAAATTGTTTGTATGCTGGAAAGGATATAACAATAGATGCGCCAAGCATTGCTTCAAATGCTAAATAACAATGTAGAAAGAAGGCGTTAAGATTTTCGTCGCTGTGGCTATCAGCCGTTTAGCGCAGTGGCTAGAGCGTCAGGCCGCGAATGCCGAAGACGTGGGTTCGATTCCCACAGCGGCGACAATCTTTTCGCACTTTTTCTACATGTTTTAATTTTTATACACTAACATTATGGGTTTGTTAATTTTGATTTTGATCTGTTTATATGTCCTAAGCCTTGATAGCTCAGAGCTCGTTTTATATCCAACTACCTGTCAAATACCTGTGCCAGCACCACACCGCGAAAAGGTACTGGAATTTTATGTCGTGATCAGCGGTGAAGTAAAATATTGTGAATAAATCTGAATCTTTTAATTGTATCGAAAATATAAACAGTACTCCAATCAGCAGCTCATGGAAGGTCTGCCCAGTAGCGGGACATATTTATAGTCTGCACTTTTTTACTTTTTAATTTGCCCAATCAAACTGCTCCTTAACGCTGCTGGCGAGTTCTGGTTGCCTTGAATTAAATTACATACACACATGTAGCTTTAAGCTCGAAGCATGAACAGATCAATCAAACGTAAACACGACTCTCCTTTCTAGTTGGCTATAGTCGGTTAAAAGCCTGGCTCCAGTAGAAATAATTAACAACGTTCGTAGCGCTACGGGGGCGACGTAGCGGCCCCGCTGCGAGCGAAAGAACCCTCTCCCGACTAACGACGCCCCGCGGTTGTACACTTCTACGAAGTTTATTTATTTCATTCGGCCAACATCCACATGAGCGTTTGACCAACTTCTACTGGACTTTACGTAGCAGAGACTAAGTAGCAGTAAATGTAGAGATATTTATCATTACACCTACTCATAGAATGTCATTATAAGTAAATGAATCCATTTCAGTGGACAAGACTTAATTACACTCAGGCTATTTGAACTTTAGTATCGTGTTTCAGATGGGTTCATACTTGAAAACATAATATCTGAAAATTTCTCAAATTGACAAACTTAAAGACGCGAAGAGGGTCATTTTAGTTAAGAAGGAGTGAGGTTCTCTGACACAGGTGTTTCAATATCTAATAGAGAAAGTGGAAACATAATTTGTAAAATTAAAGTGGATACACAGCCTACAGAATTTACACTACATTTATATAAATGAGACAGCCATAATAGTCAACCTCTGCCTAGTACTTATAAATATATATAAAAGCTACCTCACGAAAACATGTTCTAGTCTTAACGCTACAAAATTCCTATGAAATAAAACATGATCTCTAACATAAAATCACACCCCGTATTCTTTTTTAACCGACTTCAAAAAAGGAGGAGGTTTCTCAATTCGACCATATATATATATATATTTTTTTAATGTGTGTTCGCGGATAACTTCGTCGCTTATGAGCCGATTTTGATGATTCTTTTTTTTATCGGAAAGGTGATATCCCAAGGTTGGTACCATGTTAAGGAAACCGGGACTTGATGATGGCATCCCAGAGAAATCGAGGGCAATCATTGAATGTTATATTTATTAACAACGTTTGTAATTTCATGATTGAAATCGGTTTTTTTTTTTGTTAAAAATTATACTTGTTGTCTCTTTAAAAGTTTAACTCTTTCTGAAATTTCACATTCGGAAGATACATGAGAAAGGACATGCATATCCGGACTTATCAGGAGAAGACACAAGCACAGATTTACTTTGTTATGAAAATCAATTTTGTAAAAACAAAATATTTGTATCGTGTTATTTTAACTCACTACTATTTTAATTACTATTCTTACCATTTTTTCTTTCTTTTGTATATTCCTCAACAATAATTTTTCTTGGTACTTTTTACGTTACAACTTTTGCATTACCTTAGACGTACACGTTCCGAGTGTATGAAGGTGGCTTAATGTATGTATGTACAGCACAAATGCAAGCACCGCAGGTATCGAAGTGACGACAGCCATTAGCTCAGCCCGTTGGCGTGCGGACCGGGCCATCGAATATCTATTCACCGAATCCTCCTACCGCTGCATTAAAGCGCTGCAGCGAGTTGAACTTGCGCTGAAGTGGTGGCTTGCAATTCATCCGGCCCGGGGAAGTATTAAAAAAGTTGGCAAAACTTCGCTCTAATGAGCGCTGCCCCGCTGCGGACCTTAAAAATTTTACGGAAAAAGCGGCGACGAGAAAATATGGCGCGATTCAATTATGGCTCTTAGGCGTCGGCTCGAGGCTGGACGAGATCTTGCTCGGTGGCAGTTGCTTTTTAGGGTTCCGTACCCGGAGGGTAAAACGGGACCCTATTACTAAGACTCCGCTGTCTGTCTATCTGTCTGTCTGTCCGTCTATCACCAGGCTGAATCTCATGAACCGTGCTAGTGAGGCAGTTAAAGTTTTCACAGATGTTGTATTTCTTTCGCCGCTGTAACAACAAAAAATAGAATAAAAAAAACAATTTCAATGGGGCTCCCATACAACAGAATGATTTTTTGCCATTTTTATAGGAAGGAACCCTTTGTGCGCGAGTTTAACTTGCACTTTTGTCATATTGACAATGGAACGCATCGGAAGAGTTATAAATAAGTCTAACGACGCCTGTAATAGGGTCTAAAACGACTCTACCACTTTCTGACATGTCCTGTTATTCTTGCTACTGCGTATACTTCTATAATCGCCATATTGTATACAATAGGATTCAATCTCTACGTCAAAAGGTGCATAGACCTCACTATCGTCTGACGTTAAAGACGGTTCATGAGTTTGTTTATTTAATCCAATGCTTAAGTTTCAAATAATTCATGAAAAGTAAGTAGTAAAACAATTTTAAGTAATAAGTTAGTCCTACTGCTGGGCAAAGACCTCTTAACAAAAGGTATTGGCAGACTTCAATAATTATCTTCGAAATAGTCACTGATTGGTACTTCTCTGTACAAAGGTATGGCAGAATTCCCTGTCTTCGAAATATGTTTTTCTTTGTTATTATTTAGAAAACATGCAGAATTCCTCACGAAATTTTCCTTCGCCGATCATCGTAATAAGTCAGCAGTTTATATTGCAACTAACAATTTCGTCGGTTTAAAAATTTAGTCTCAATATAGAACAGGCTGAAGCCGATAGATGTGAGGACCGCCAAAATTATAACATTTTCAACTAATCAAAGCGGTTGAAAACTCTGAAATAGAAATTGCGATAACGAATTCAAAACACAACCCGTGGCGCGAGCTACGCCATTGTGTATACCAAACGTTGAAACTTATTTATTAATTCATATGCAACTCCGCCGAGACGCAGGCAGCGTATCTTCAAAGGTGGTTGAATATTTCACGGCATGGGGGCGCGCTGAAGTTAACGAAACACGTGGAAAGTTTCGCATAGTTTTCGCACTTTGATCCGCCGATAGTAGATTCACTCGAGGGGTCTTGGATACCACAGCCCTGTGGCGGAGGGAATCTCCAGGTTGTCTCCAGTCAGAGTCCCGAGGGTAGGAAATTTAATACAGAAAATATAGCAGAAAGCATGTACTACCATACTTACGAATGTTCGATAGACATGTTTGTTTTCGCTTGAAAGCAAGTGTACAAATTTGGCTAATCCAATATGGTAACAATTTAATTTATTTTAATTATTGTAATTTTTGTGGTAATATTCTCTGCACTTATGAGGGAAACTTTAAAATTGTAGATAAATGGACGTGATTTTTATCGATGTGAAGATAAACCGTTGAGCTCAGTGGTAAGAGTCAGATCCTAGCGATTCAGAGATGAAAAACTTTTCGTCAACATTTCTACAAATTTGAAGCGTTAATTTACATTTAATCCGTCATCAATAACGTCTTTCAACCAGTCTTAACAACGAACTTTTTGTCACCTGAATTATTGCAGTATAAGTTAATGAAACAACAGCGGATTTCCGAAATGCCCGCCACCACAAAATATATTTCAAATAAAATTATCGGTGTTTTCAATTAAAAAGGCCACAACTTGTGAAAAGTCGACGTCGATAGCACTAATAACGATAACGTTTCCGCCCGCAGAAGTCATAGAATAGAGTTAATTTTTCAAATATATTTTCAACCCCTACTTATAAAAATTAATATTAAAATAACCAAAAAAAAAAAAAACAACAAGAAAAACAAAACAAAACTAAAACAGAATAAAAAACTTAATCCGGTAAGCCCTAGTGTTACGTTCTAAATAGACTGACATTTTAGTGACGATAAAAACAAAAAAAAAACAAAACGAACGCAATCGAAAAAAACAGAACGCTAAAAAAGGAACGCGTCCGAATTCGAAAAGGGAACGCTCGCGACTCGGTAAGCGCGGAATGGCGTCGATTTAAAGAGAGGGAGCGAGAGGGAGTGCGAGGGAGAAAGGCACATTGCAAGATGCTGACGATGTCAACCCTTATGATGCCAGCGGCGACTATGACCACGATGACCAACGCGGGACCCATACCGGTCGCGGCGGCGACCAAGCTCGAGCCGAAGATACTGCAGCTGCCCCACCCGGCGCTGATGCAGCAGCTGCCCCAGCAGGCGCCCCAAGGTCACCACCACCAACACCAGCATGGCAACAACAAACTCGGTGAGTCCATTACAAGTATTCCTTGAAGGTTAATTGCCCCATTTTTCATGTCAGAAGGTGGCAAGTGGGCGGGCCGTTCGCCTGATCTTAAGTAACAACCACCGCCCATGGAAATTTGCAACACCCGTAGGATTGCAGAAGCGTTGCCACCTTTTATACAGTGGGCCCCGGCCACCTCACTCAACGCCCAATGCGAAACGCAGAAGCATAACAATTCCACTTCAGGCTGGTATTATGTGAAGTCATGTTTCTAAACCGGACGGTCCTATCTCAGTTAAATTTGATCTAACCACCCGCTCTACTTCTAACTCTATATCAGTTCAATGCCTCTTAATAACCTTAAATATCAAGTTTAATATTTAGAGTTTAGTTTTAGTTTAGTTTAATATTTAGTGTAGTTATATCGGTAATCGATTTATGTAATTTCATACAATAATTTGAATGCCTCCTCTTGAATCGAAAACTTCCCCGAAATATTTAGCTGAAAAATGGAAAGTGGGTAGGTTGTTTTTCTGATATCAAGTGATTCCCGCCACCCATGGATTTCTAAAACGCCTATTTGGTTGCTAAGGTTTAGGCATAATAAAGTGAGCTACGGCTACCTCACTCACCAGACCAAACGCGAAATTATATACATACTTCCATTTCACACCGGTCTTCCGTGAGACGGCAGTACTTACCCGGATGGGCCTGCCCATTCGAGACCAAGAGAAGAAGATGCTGTTCTATTTACGCGAGTGCTCCGAGCTAGTGGACTTGTGCCCCGTGCTAAATCACTAGTGCTTCAATCTTAATAAAAATAATATGATTCTAATAAAAATATCCTTTTGGCTAAATTTGGACAGACAGAAATCACCAGTAGTTTAGACTCAAAGTGCTTTCGTGTCTTTGAAAATATAATATGGAGCACATTCTAGCAAATTTTATTCTTCATCATCATAGCCAAGACGTCCACTGTTTAACTTAGGCTTCCACGTTAGTACGCCATTTTTAAAATGTTTTATTACATTTAAACACTAATTTTTATTATTAATTTAAATTTGAGTCAGGCCGTTCACCGCCCTTTTAGATGCTTTTAAGTTCTAAGTGGCACACGAGAAAAAATAACGAGTTTAAACAATGCTTGCAATTTCAAATGCTCATCCATGCTGAAAACGTACTGAAAGATTCAGTCAACGCTGGATAGCGACTGAAACGATATATGTGTTTAAGATAATACGTATGTATTATCCACACAATTGCAGTCACGCACTAAGGTACTCTATGTAGAGTGTATAACTGTCGAATCTCTATGTAGAGCTGTTAAATAAATCAAGCTGAACGCCTTTATCATCTACTTTGGCCTATTTGCAGCTATAGATTTTTAATGTCTCACGCCCATTAATTATTCGTCACTTTTCACTTAAGCAACACTTTCCAGCAAGCAATCTGCTTTCACTTGCTTCGAACGAATAACAGAGAGCCTCAAAATATAAATCATTCTTTTCGTTGGCAACATCAAATCTATAGGGGGAAATGGCACAGGCAGTGGATAATTTCAACAATGGTAGAGCCACGTAGAAGTTTCTGCTGTTAATGTGCAGGCTCGTCGTGGAAGTAGACCTCACGAAAACCGTCGTGAAGTGGAAGAAAAGTCTTCTTTGTTATCTGATAAGTGAGAAAATGGCCCGTGGGTTGGCAATGCATCTCTAAACAATGGCCACCATAGAAGGCCGCCAAATTGGACATAGCACAAATTTGCTGTTCTATTGTCACTTTTGTGTACACTTTCATTTGTGGTGGATGATAAAGTGTATTCATTCATTCATTCATGTGTCGTACATGCCTACGGGCGGTGGTTATTACTTAACATCATATTAAGTTACTACTCGATGGCCATGAAAATAATAATGTATTGCAAACTCTAAATTATATTTCTATGTCCCTTCGAAGTAACCGAAGGTAACCAATTCGCTCTTCTACCTTTAAAAAAAACATGTGAAATATTTATAATAAACTTTAGAACATGATAAGTTCAATATCGATAGAATAATAAAAATTAATGGCTGCAACCTCATTAAGACTAGGTCGATATTGATAAACGCTCACAGAAGGGGAGATGGATTTTTCCTTCCCGTAAAGATAAGTCCAGTATAAGACAATCATACCTGTGATTCTTGAAACTAAATAAAAATATTCATTAATAATTGATCTTTGCGACTCTATTCGAGGTGTTGATAATAAGTCGATTCTCCATCAGTTTACACTTCCGCTAGGAGTAAGTTTTATTAGAATTTACGGATCTTAATCTCCATCCCAAAAAAGTAAATATGAATGTAACAAACAAATACTTAGAAATAAAAAAACATGACTGGCATAGCCAAAATCTTGAAAGGAGCAATATATTATTTCCATGGAATATTTTCAGTTTTCAGGCATCTGGTTGTCGCATTACCGATTTTTGTTTATTTTCACGTCCTAAGTGGCACTTGCTGTATTAAAACAGTTCGGTTAACATAAGATTCAACAAATTATCGATGCTAGAGCTGTTTAGAGCGCCACAAAGGAACAAATAGGCCGAGTAAAACATTATCCTCCTTTGTACCAGGTAGTAGGCTAAAAAGGATCCTTTCTCCTGATGTACAACCGAGGTACAAGGAAATAAATGACACTACTAAATGAAACTAATTTTACGGATTTATCGCGTAAATTTTTCATTTTGTTTCCCGACGCTTTGAACCCTTTGCGGCGTTCACGGTCCCGGAAGAGATTCAAAACAAAATGAACGCAATAAATTCGCAAAAATAGTTTCATTTACTAATGTTGTTCGCGTAAATACAAGAAACTATCATTAGATAACAGCTTATTAAAGTCCATATTAAAGCCGAAATTCCTGCCTAAGACCAACTAACAATTCGTAGGCATGGGCACCGCTACGCAGCGAAAAGGCCCCACCCACCCAGTTAATTAGCATCCTTTTTAATTAGCCATCGTTGGAATATCACTCGATCGCCACGACGTTGCGAGCCATTTTCATTTTTCACCTTTTTTGTGTACACTGGTTCATTACGCGAACGCCGGCTGTCGCTAACGACCACACCGCGTTTTATTACCTATAATTCGCGTATTAAGTTGATTAATGTGCGGATGTATGTGCATTGTCTTTGTTTACGTGGCTTTTCTCTTCGCGAAACGCCAAGCGCGTGCACCCCATACAAGCAAATAAAAACTTTGCATACCCTGTCATCCCCATACAAACATACCCTTCTTAATAAATGAACCTACATAATAAATTAATAATTTACAGATGTTAATTGTACTTTAACTCTTGTTTAAATTACATTTTACTTTATTTTTTAAGTCTTGGCTTTCTTTTCCGAAGTTGATTGCATCTTGGTGTAATCATTGATATGTTTCTAGGGTTCCGTACCTTAAAAAGAAAAAAACAGAACCCTTATAAGATCTCTCTTCTCCGTCTGTCTATCCGTGTGTCACCACCAATTTTCTCAGGAACGGGTGGACCTAGCAAGTTTAAACTTAAATCAGATACTGAAGTCTATAGTCCCTAATAGGTGAATAAAAATCAAGGTCCCAAGTCAACAGGGTGAAAGATATGGGTAAATGTAGATTTTCGCGAAAACTTGTAAATCCCAAAATTTACCTTTACTTTCAATTTTTTTATTTTTTGGAATTTTCTTTTTACTTGTCCTGTAAGAGCTTGCTTATAACCAAAATTGACAATTCTAGGTCAACCGAAAGTAGGTCAACCGAAGGTTTTGGGTCGAAAACCTATATGGTAGTTGACCCAAAACCGTCCCGTTGACGTAGAATCATGAAATTTGGCAAAAAGCAAGGTTTTATACACGTAGCACAAATAAAGGAATAATTGTGAAAAATAATAAAAGTTGAAAATTAAGGTAAGTTGCCTATTTCCTTTTCCTACCCGGTTTCTGGGTACTGATCTGTTATTGTTCTTCACAAGGTCATAAAGTCAGATAGCATTAACGTTTCCTCACAAAGTTTTCACCGCTGATCACGTGATACTCAGCACTGAGAACTGTTTCATTGGTGCTGGCGTCGGAATGTGAACTCAGGTTGCTCGAGTATATTGAATTGAAAGCGAGCTTCCACACACTGAGCTACCGCAGCCAATCATCAGACTGAATATCACTACATAGTATAAAACAAAGTCGTCCCGCTGTCTGTCTGTCCATATGTATGCTTAGATCTTTAAAACTACACAACGGATCTTGATACGATTTTTTCACTAGATAGAGTGATTCAAGAGGAAGGTTTACATGTATAATACATTGCACCCGTGTGGAGCCAGGGCGGGTAATAAATAAGTCGGATTTACATTCGATACTATACTGGAAAAATCGGCGCAGTAATCCAACAGCAGTAATCACTGCGGACTATAATATTATACCACGAATTCTAACTTGTGATAGCACAACACTCCATAGTAAGACTAAAGCCATGTCCATTACGATTGTTTCGCTACAAATGACGTCTTCAAAACAATGGATACTGTGTCATCAAGACAATGGACACATGCCGAGTATCTACTCGGTTACTATCTAGTAACTATGGCAAAAATGGACGTTGCGACGTCAAGATAAAAGGTGTCGTTATTTTTTCGAATACGTTACCACACAATACTAAGTTACCAAATAGGTTCGGTTTCAAATTTAGATCCGTTAAGGGAAACATATGTCAAAGTTAACCTATAACCTATCAGTTACCATATCTAGCACTCAAATACTGCGATGTTCGTTTTTTATGTAAAATTTTAAAGCGCTGGCTGTTTGATGTAAAATGATTATTTATTTTTTATGTGAAAGTCGTCAAGCGAGCAGGCAGTTCACCTGATGTTAAGTGAATACCACCGTCCAAGGACATCTGCTACCTGTGGGTTTGCAGATGCGTTGACAACCTTTTTGAAAAAAGGGCTCTGGCTACCTCACTCAACAGACGAAACGCGAAAGTATTATACTTCCACTTCACGCCGGTCTTCTGTGAGGTTGTGGTACGTACAGTGACGAGCCTGCCCATTCGTGCAACAGTCGAGGCTGCCTTTCTCACCCTTTATCTCTCACCACCGTCGTAAATCGAGCACGGCAAGCCCGTCAGCTATGACGGCCGTGGACCCGTTAAAGCCACGGGGCCCTTAAATCAACGAGACGTTAAAGTGTTCCAAAACAGGCCATAACGTTTTATGACCTCATGGGACAGGTAAATATACAGAGATGAGCTCAGGGCTCGTAACTGCAGGGCGATAACAAGATGTGTAAATGGGATTATCGTAACTCTCCTTTTAAAGAATGCCTATGAAAATCAGCCGCACCATGAGTTTCGGCTGCAGTTTTATCCTTTGAATTGGCGGAACTGTCATTTACAACAAATGTATGAACATGTCTAAATTCCTCCGTAGCATGTGCTACGCGACTCTACGGTAGAATTGTGAAGTTGCAATCGAGACCTCTAAATGATGAGGTGTTGATTGGCTTTCTATGAATATGTATCTAAATAGCACGCGCGTACGCCAGTTCCACGGAGTTTGCATATAATCTGACTTTTAGCGGGACACCACTTCTTTTTAGTAAGTAAAAGTAAGTGCTACTACGGTGGTAGAGCCACGCAGCAGCCTCGGCTGTTGCACGAATGGGCAGGCCCGTCCGGGTAAGTACCACGACCTCACAGAAGACCAGCGTAAAGTGGAAGTATGACAAATACTTTTAAGTTTCGTCTGGTGAGTGAGGTAGCCGGAGCCCAATTTTGAAAAGGTTGTCAACGCATCTGTAGCCCTCGGGTGTAGCAGATGTCCATGGGCGGCTGTATTCACTTACCATCGGGTGAACCGTCTGCTCGTTTGGCAACTTTTGGCATAAAAAAAAAAGTGCATGCCTATATTATTCTCCACAACAGATGTGATCCCCGGTCACTTTGACCACAGTTTACAATTCATTGACCCCGAAAAATCACCACACAAATGTACAAAAAGCAGCCACTGTATAATATGTGTAAATAATAGTGGTAATTACAATAATAAAATTTTGTTTGGAAAGAATACAAATGGACTTTTAACAATGAACATTAGCGGCTACATTTGGTTAAAGATGTATCGTAAATGTCGTGTCCAGACGGGTGTCTCTATGGAACACTTAGAGAAGCTTCCGACGCCGTGGTCTATAGATCGACACTATAAATCAGCTCGGGAAGAAAATAAATCTAGTCACTGTTGTCTTTAAGAACTTAGTGCGACTAAGGTAAGATTTTGGTGATTTAGTATCTAACACTTGATGACTTTTTTTTAAAGTGAAAGTGTATGAAACGAGCTGGCGGCTCACCTGATGTTAAGTAATAACCACCCGCCCATGGACGTTTGCAACACCAGGGTAGGGTTGCAGAGGCTTTGCCACCTCTTAATAAAGGGGGCCCCGGCTACCCCACTCACCAGACGAAACGCAGAAGTGCTACACTTCTACATTACCGGTCTTCTGTGAAGTCGTGGAACTAACCCGGACGGACCTACCCATTCGTGCAACAGTTATCACTGTTGCTTGGCCTACCACCGTAAACTAAGACTAAGGCACCATTTAACATAAAATTATGTATATGCTATCTGTTCTTGGAAACATTACTCATACGGTAATACATTATACTGTTTGGAGAAGCGCCTTCACGAATTACACGTTGACAAACGTCCCACTGCGAAGGAATTATGTAAATTTTATATAAACAAGTCCGATATGATGTTCTAGCATAGACTAGATTAATAGGTAAATAAAATAAAAATATAATAACCTATTAATATATCATCTACAGACCTTTTTTATCCGTTATGTGTTATGTGCTTTTTTGTTTTAGTTTGACCTAGCAAGGTAACGCAGCATGGTATTTCATGACTCCGTGGCGTAGTAGCCAAGTTATTAGGTTCGGCGTCGGGGGTCGTGGGTTCGATTCCCACACAGGACGACCATTTGTGTGGCCCACAGATAATTGTTCGCGTCTGGGTGTTTAACCGCGTGAAATTTTTGTTTGTAAAATGTCCTTACGACACAGGATAATGTTATCCTAAAGTAAGGGCCTTATCATGTGCTCCGAGGTGAAGGAAAACATCTTATTTTTTTTTATGTGAAAAGTTGCCAAACGAGCTGACGGGTCACCTGAGGTTAAGTGAATACCGCCGCCTATGGACATCTGCTACACCCGAAGGTTACAGATGCGTTGACGACCTTTTGAAAATTGGGCTCCGGCTACCTCACTCACCAGACGAAACGCGAAATTATTTGTCATACTTCCACTTTACGCTGGTCTTCTGTGAGGTCGTGGTACTTACCCGGACGGGCCTGCCTGTTCGTGCAACAGCCGAGGCTGCTGCGTGGCCCTATCACCGTCAAATTCGTGAGGAAACCTGCATATTTTCGAAATAATAACAAAAAAAAAATATTTGAAAGATATGTGAAGTCCGCCAATCCGCAGTGGGGCCTGGTGGACCATATCCTGATACCCTCTGTATGTTGAGGCTTTTGCCCAGCAGTGAGACATAGACTGTTACTTTACTTTTTTTTAAGGGCCATGTTTTTTAAAACAAAAATAAAAAATAAAGTGATGACTGCCCATCATCGCCCGATGAGCCAGCAAGAGATAGTCTAGGTAGCTCCGGGCGCAATAGCCACTTCGTCGGGGGTCATGGGTTCGATTCCCACGATTTTTGTGTGACCCACAGATAGTTGTTTCGCATTGTTTGTCCAGGTGAAGTTTATTTATCTAAAACATCCAAAACCAAACGGGATAATGTTAAATGTCAGTAAGTGAAATGTTTTTGAAGTATATAAAAAAGAGTGAAAACTCACTTTCACTTGATTAAGTCCTAGGTTTTCCGAACAACTTAAGTGCAGAAACCACTGTCCAATAACAGTTCTCTGGGTATGATGGTAGCCTTAAATTGTCAAAGTATTGTAGTTGTGGTATCTTTACCTCATAGGTACGCTTCTGGGTGCTCGCAAAACCCGAATTTCTGCAAATGTATTCGTTATGTATTAGTTATACTTCTTTGTCTTGTTTGGGGAGTGAGATAACCGGGGCCCACTTTACTTTGGTGTTGCAAATGTACATGGGTGGCGGTTAGCGATTATCATTCAACATCAGGTGTACCACAAGCTCGCTTGCTATCTTCTTACATAAAAGGTTTATTACGGACCTGTCAGACGTTCTGCCTTAGTTACTTCACTTATCGCACAAAACGCAAAAGCAAGAACGCTTGCACCGGTCTTTCGAGAGTTAGAGGCAAGGTAGAGGTAGCTACGTAAGCTTTACCATGAAACTCATAACAACACAGCCAGGTGTTATGGCGAGAAAAACGGTTAGAGGCAAAGTGCTGTTTTAACGTTACATCCGCCTGAAACTTCATCTTTACCGACCTGAATGCATAATTCCCTTTGTCTCGCCGCCGACGCTAGACGCGGTTACTTTGCAATGCAACAACTTGCGATGGCGAGATACGATGGCTCAAAGTTCGCTTATTTCAGAAATTACAACCAAATAGACTCATTGTTCATCACAAAAGTACATTTTTCACAACCTCCAATCTATACAGTTACTCCAATATTCTACCTTTTAATAGCGTATTGGTTGCTTAGTGTAGAATTTAACTTTTTTTAAGTGTTAATTTTACCTAAAAAATAAAAATTCTAACTGTACATATATGCATACAGTACTTAGCATATATGTTCATAATACTTTAGTGTAATTAACTTTAACTTACTGAATTGAGTGAATCCCCTAAAACAATATGCGATATGTTTAATCCATTAAAGTTAAACTATAAGTTCCAAATTTAAAAAAAAATTAAATATTTAAATATATTTTTCTTGGCGAAAGATATATAGCACCTCTTTATTTTACATAAATAACGTTCGACAATCAGTTATACTATACAGGTCAGTATACTATACAGGACCTCGCATTTCGCGTTAATTAAAGACTTAATAACACTAATGTTATTCGAAATTGTAAATTATAAACTAATTGTGCTGGTTTCATTATTACATTAGTTAGGTTATTATGTCACGCAATTACGACATGAAAATGATGTCAGAACATAGTACATGCTGTTATTATGGAGATAAAATTAACTTGTGTGTTATTGCATCCATTTCTTATGGGAGAAGTTATATAAGGTATGAGTAGAATTGCAGATATCTTTTTGAAAAAAGCCGAAGGCTCACTTCACTTGATGAAAAATGATCACCGCTGCCCATCAACATATGCAACACCGGAGGGTTTGCAAATGCGTCGCTGGCCTTTCAAGAAAGAATATGCTTTCTTCTTGAAGGTTCTTAGAAAGAGCTCGGTTACCTCACTCGCCAAATCATCATCATTATATCAGCATGTTCTAGTCCACTACTGAACATTGGCCTCATCCACGGCCTGCCAAGAAGCACGACCTTCAGCCACCTGAACCGTCTACTTCCCGAACATTTGCAAGGTCGTCATTCCATCAAGTGGGGGGTCGGCCTATACTGCAATGGCCATACGAGTCTACCACGCGAGAATCTTTCTTCGCCATCGGTTATCGGTTCTACGAGCTATATGGCTATCTCGTTGCCACCTTCACATAGTAATTTTCTGAGCAGACCGAAAACCGAAAACAAATGTGTAAATACTCCCACATTATGTTACCGTGGTAGGGTCATTATCACGACCCCACAGAATACCAGCGAGAAGTGAAAGTGTCATACTTCTGCGTTACGTCTGGTGACTGAGGTAGCCGGGGTCTATCGGGGTTTATTAAAAGGTGGCGGGTACGGTAACGCATCCCGTAGGTGACAGGTTTAGAGCCGTGATAGCTCAATATAAGGGCGCTCACCTTTAATTCAATACACTCGAGCAACCTGAGTTCGATCCCCGATGTCGACACCAATGAAATTGTTAGTTATAAGTTCTGAATTATCACGTGCTCAGCGGTGAAGATAAACATCGTGAGGAAACCTGCTTATATAAAAAAAATGTTTCGAAGATATGTGAAGTCCGCCAATCCGCAGTGGAGCCGCGTGGTGTAAACTATGCACTGATACCCTCAGTACAGAGGATGCCTTTGCCCAGCAGTGGGACATATATAGGCTGATACTTTACGCATCTGCAACCCTACGGGTGTTGCAAATGTCCATGGGCGGTGGTTATTACTGAAGATCAGGTGAACCACCAGCCCTCTTTACCGCCAAAGGAAGCACCAACAATTAATTCGTCCTCGCTTACGACCATGGCGTAACCAACACAAGATACGGCTGAGTTCTAGGGCGGTTCTCAACGTGCCTCCAGCCAACCTCAGATTAATACAGTCAATGGCCATCGACTTCACAGTACCAAAGCTTAATGGCTCGTTCGCGGTGTTCCTACCGTTCTTAGTAACGCACGAACGATCACGTGCGCGGCTCTACAAAACTTGCAGGGCCGTATCAAGCTTGTGGGCTCCGGCTAAACCAGGAGATGTGCGCTCATTGAAGTTACGTTAAGTACGGGCTGATGGAAGCAACATAAGTTTTTCTCCTTCTCATGTCTTCTATTCTTGTTAAAGTAAAACAAAAGACAAAAGCTAAATGTAGTAGTAGACCTACTATCTAAGCATTCATAATTCGCTTACCGAATGTAACATTGTTATTCATCAACCTACGAGCTGCTACGTCGTAAGCGCAATTCGGGCTACGCGGGGCGAGCCGAGCAGGGGGCGCCCCCTCCCCGGGGATGGCCTGCATCATAAATTTCACTAATTATAACTCACTCGGCGCGACCTACATCGCCGGGACACGTACCACGGAACGGCGGCCTCCGCACGGGCGCGGCAAATAATTTCATTACACCCGTAGGCTTTGCGGTTTGCGAACGCTACGAGCGCGTAGGCACTGTTGTTGTTACGTTAAGAGAGCTTTTATTAGCTTCCAAACTAGTCGCTGTCCTCGGTTTCGTTTGCATAGCTCTTGTTAAGAATAAAGGCATCATTCTGCACTCCAGATATCTAACGTGTATATTTCAGGGATTAATTTATTTATTTTGCTTGATTACAAAATACAAATTATCACATGATTAAATTATTACAAACCAATACATATTACTAAACTTGCGTTTCAATAACAACCGAGCACAACATTCAATTTGAATATGTTATTTTAATAAAAGTAATAAATAATACTTACTAATTTATATTATATATATATACATTTCCGTGTCATGTTGCTTGACCGCGATGAACTGCTAAATTACTGAACTGATTTTAATCAAATTTTGCATACTGTGTGTAGTTTGATCCAACTTGAGAGATAGTTTGTATCTCAATTTATAGTCGCAATATGTTTTTTATTGCAAACTACTTGTTTATTATATGAGTTCCATAAGATTGTAACAGATGGCAGTGTAAGGTAAATTTATCCACTTTATTGAGTAAGTATCCAATAGATGGTGCAGATGAAAGTTGCTTGGGCCAGCTAGTTTACTTATAAGAACGAAGGGGAGAAGAAGATGGATATCTAAAAGTGTGAAAATTAAAATGACATGTGTATTTTTACTAACAGAAAACAAAACCTACTTAACATATCTCACTTACTGTATATTTTCTAATTGATTTTGAGCAGTTCACTGGGGTTGCTAGTCAATACCATTAAAATTATTATGGAATCATATGAGATTCCAATGTAAATTAATTTTTAAATTTTAAACGATAGAGTTCTGAGGAAGCACATATAAAAACATGCGGGGCAGTCATTGAAGACTGCCTATAGAAGTGAAAACTAAGTAAGTTAACAATAATTAATATATTTATTTATAAATAATTACATATTAAAATAATTTTTAAGCTAAAAATAATTAATACATTTAATAATAAATATTAATATTTATAAAAAGAGTTCGTTGACGATGACGCGAGTTCCATTACTTTTGTTCATCCAAAAAGTGCTCAACTATTAAAAGTGCTCAAATTTTCACTTTAAAATTTAACTAAATTCAAGATTCTTTAAATACTAAGCCTACTAGGGTGAAACTAGAATAAGTGACTACCGTTTATAACCATTAGGGAGCGACATAACAGTTACCTTGATACCACAGCGCAATAGAACTGTAGGACAGGGTATCAGAATTACGCGACGTTACTTCGGAACTAACTGTTATTAGTACAAGTTATTATTATTAGGACGTTTGTGTTTACATCGCTTCGTGGGACCCTTCTGGAACGTTCTTTATGAGGTCGATTTCTTTTTACTGCGACGTTATATAACCCAATCCGCTGACTGACCACACTTTTTGCCTGCTATATTGCTATTACGTCTGTTCTGATTAAAGTTTCTATGCAGGTAGAGAACTCCGGAGTTTCTGTAGAAGTTTCTCAGGAAGAGATCTAATCCAGTTCAGTCCGTTTAGTATCTACTAAGTATGGTTTTCCCTTAATAATACTATGAAGGAAGTTTTCCTGTACGTTACTACAGGACAATGTAGGAACGTAAAAATTGACAGTTAAACCCATCTTGATTTCTTGTTTTTACGCGATTATTATATATAAAACATTTGACGTCTGCCTGGGTTAACTTTTCGAGTGCGAGTCGAACTCGCGCACAAAGGGTTCCGTACGATTATCTATAAAGACGGCAAAAAATCGTATCTGTTGCATGGATTTTTATTATTTGATGTTATAGCGGCAACAAAAATAGATCATCTGTGAAAATTTCAACTGTCTAACTATCACGGTTCATGATATACAGTCTGATGACAGACGGACACACAGACACAGAGGAATCTTAGTAATAGGGTCACGTTTTACCCTTTGGGTGCAGAACCCTAAAAATCACCCAAGGCCACTCTGCAATTCAATGAAAGTAGCGATCATTATAACATCCAAAGTCCGAACTTAACAAATTTATAAATTGAATGCACTATGCTCATTGATTTCATTCCCATTTCAACATGGCCCCGTTAAGACTTCCTTCCTTTCTACCAATACACCGATATACCCATTATCATCATTTACAAGCACCCAGCTTACAAGACAAGCTTTCTCGACACTTTTACTATAGCCAACACGCCTCATATGGAAATCTACGAGTACATACAGGAAGGATTTTCGAAGTGAATCCATTTTTTTTAATTATATTTTAGACATAAATAAAGTTATACAAAAAATCATAAAACTTTAAAATCATGATCATTTTAACTTATCTCAAGAAGTGCGTGATTTATAGGCAACTCATTTATTGTACGCGCAATCATTCATAACTAACACGCACACAAGTTCGTTTCAAAAGTATACAACTCATTTATGAATGACTACCGAATTGTCAACAAGTTCTGTTTTTTAGGGAATAAAATGGCATTTTTTTTAAAACAAAAGTTTATTTATTTCAATAAACGATTATACTACCGAGTCTGAACCTCCTGTGTAAATTTGGGCACCTTTAGAAAAGCCACCCTGTGTATCTAGAATGTTTATTGACCATTTAGTACGTGTAAAGTAATAATATTACGTGGTTATGCGTACTCTTCCACTAATCTTAAATACGTTATAGGTCCCTAACACACCGCAATGAAAAGGTTATTAGCCTACAGAGCAACGTATAATTATGTAGATTAATAGATACTATGACCTGACTGGCGTAGTGGATAGTGTACCTATCTCCTACAGGTGTGGGTTCGATTACCAATACTGGAAATATTGTGTAATGAACATAGTGTTTTCCCAGTGTTTCGGTGTTTGTTTATCTAAAATGTGTATTTCCTTTTAAATGCTGATGATTTTATACCTAAATAAGTTAGTATAATTGTATCACAAAAAATAACAAAAAGAACAAGTTTCTCTGTTCAGTTTAGTGAACCGGTGGGTGGTAGATTTGTTGTTGACGTTCAATAAGAGCGTAAGTTAAGCCAATATTGAATAAATATACTTTGACTTTAACTTTGTAAAAAAAATATGTTTAATTATATTTATCAGTTACCTAGTATACATAGTAAAAACTTTCCTCAGTTTGGGACTAGATAACGTTGTATGAATATGTCCTGAAATATTCTATTTTATTATTTTTTATTAAAATACTAACTATTCCTCTATTTATTTTACGCAGCCACCATTCAAATAATATGACCTGTCTCACTCTTACAACAGAGACTAATCTAATATGTCTATTACAGATCTAATATATGAAGACATCTTATATGTCCAAATTCGTCATCAGATAAGCCGTTAGTTGTGCCTAAGTAATTTAAATACACGAGGGGAGGACATACGTTGTCCTGTACACGCGTCTTAAATCAGAAAACAACTTATAAATGAAAGATTACAAATTTTTAAATGAAAGGTTTAAAAAAGGTTTTATAGTGGACGGAATTGTAAATCTAAGCCATTCTCGAGTCCACATTTTTTTTATGCGAAAAGTTGCCAAGCAAGCAGAGGGTTCACTTGATGTTAAGTGAATACCGCCGCCCATGGACATCTGCTACAACCGAGGGTTACGGATGCGTTGACAACCTTTTGAACATTGGGCTCCGGCTACCTCACTCACCAGACGAAACGCGAAAGTATTTGTCATACTTCCACTTTACGCTGGTCTTTTTTGAGGTCGTGGTACTTACACGGACGAGCCTGCCCATTCGTGCAACAGCCGAGGCGGCTGCGTGGCCCTCCCACCGTAAACTTATACTGAAATTTGTTGTGTGTGTACAAGTGGTACTAACATACAATAAATTTCATCAAAATCGTACCAGCCGTTCAGCAGGAGTTCAGTCGCAAACAAATGCAAAAAGGAATTATATAATTATGTAAAAATGTGCCCGAAAAACATTACCGCCCTTCGGCAGTCGGGTAATTAGCTTGATGTCGCGTGCTTTTGTTGGCCGGACAAAAGCGTCTACCCGATAATTCATCTGTCACGTAATAGAGGGTGCGGGTTATGCCACTGTGTAACGTCACGCGGTCGCCGTGTGTCAGGTTGGTCATATTTTCAACCGACTGCAAAAAGGAGGAGGCTCTCAATTCGACTGTACATATTTTTTTAATGTTCGTTACCTCAGAACTATCGAGTGAATCGATTTTGATCCGTAAGCTGGTGCCTCCCATGTGGTCCCTTATTAATATCATTGATATTGCATAATGGACTCAGGAGATACGTAGGAAACTCCTGAAAATCAATTTTAAAATGAATACGGAGCGAGATATTTCAAGTCTGTTTTGTTTTTCGCTAATAAAAACAATTGATTGAAGTCCGTTGGTGATGTTTTGTTTTTAACCGACTTCAAAAAAAGAGGAGGTTTCTCAATTCGACCGTATATATTTTTATTTTTTTTATGTGTATTCGTGAATAACTTCGTCGTTTATGAACGGATATTGATGGTTATTTTTTTGTCGGAAAGGAGATATCCCAAGGGTGGTACCATGATAAAGAAACACGGATCTGATGATGGCATCCCAGAGAATTCTAGGGCCATCATTGAAAGTTAAAGGTATTAACAATGTTTTTAATTTTCTGATTGAAATCGTTTTTTTTTTGTTAAATATTATACTTGTATTCAGTAAGCAGGCGGTTCACACGGTGTTAAGTCGGGTCGCCAGAATATGGTTATAACATGCGAGTTGCAGTAATGTGATTGTTCACTAGAAAATGCCTTTGCGAACCAGTGCTTGTTGCGAGTAGGGCTTATGTTCTTCGTATATAGGTTAATGACGGAGCGTGGCAACTTTACACTTACACTTAACGACTGCCTAGGCGGAGCGCGTAATGGCCTCATGGTCATCTTCGCTGAAGAGCAGGGAGCGGCTGACACCACCCAGCTTTATAAGTTAACCGAGCTAATTCAAACAATAACGATGTCAAACCTTTTTTTTTTCTTGTGAGAAGTTGGAAAACGAGCTGGCGGTTCACCTGGTGTTAAGTGACAATCGCCTCCCATTGCCATTTTCAATAACCGAAGGGTTATAGATTGCGTTGCCTTTTAATAAAGCGGGCCCCGTCTATCTCACTCGCCTGACGAAACGCAGAAGTATACACTACCACATGACGCCGATCTTCGGTGAGGTCATGGTACTTACCCGTGTTGGCAACACTAAAAGAAGTGTCATTCTGTGAGGTATAAATGAAGCTGCAAGAAGCATTTCATGGTCTTTGTCGTCGTCTTCGTAGTCTTCTTTGGCTGTCAAACCAGAAGTATACACGATAGTGCTGCCCAATCCGTATCATAAATTAAATCGTTAGAGTGGTGTTTCATTAGTGATATTGAAGTGATAAAATAAGTAATTATACCAGTGTTTATGTTGTGCAAAGTGAAACTACGGTGATTTCGTATAAGTATTAATATTTCTACCTTCTTAGCTCGATAAAACAAAGTATAGCTAACACCCGCATCTTCCCGTCTTGATGTAATGTTACGACAAAAATGTACACACACGTGTATAAAACCTTTCCAGTGATTTAACAGACGTTAAAATAAGTGATAATCGCGCAATCAAATGCAATCTTGAGGTTGATGTCGCTTCGCCAACTTTCAAGAGAGTAACAGACCGTTGATTTCCCTTCTGCATTGTCTTCTGGTATTCGTTATACTTCCCCGCAGCGCCCTCATTAGCAAATCTTGTTGGTTTTACTTAAAGGAAACCTACTCACTTATTGCTTGATGATAAGTATAACTACAAGAGGAACGCCGGCTGATATCTCTACTGATATTATCATCATCAGCTTGGGATCCCATAATATACAAAATTATAAATGTTAAACCCAAATATACCAACACTGCTATACCTCAAGCTCCTTTTGCGTTAATCGAAATAAAAATAATTGACGGTAGCCCGTGTGAACTCTGACATTAAGACGTGAAACAACTGAGTCTGTCCCGTAAGCATAAACATTGGAAACGTTTCGAAACTTCGGGAATTTAAAAATCTAATTTGACACTATAAAATCCGTTAAGTAGTTTCACTTCACAATCATCAATCAATCAATGTGAATTGAAACTCTTCAGCGTGATAATTGCACTGCTGAACAAAAGCGTGGTAGGACCACGCAACGTTGTTTGCTGTTGCACGATTGGGCAGGTACGTCCGGGTTAGTACCACGACTTCACATAAAACCAGCGTGATGAGGCGTGAGCAACCATGAGTGAGGTGGCCGGGGCCCATTTTCTTATGAGGTGGCAACGCTTCTGCAACCCGACGGGTGTTGCAAATGTCCATGGGCGGTGGTTATCACTTAACATCAGGTGAACCGCCAGCTCGTTTGCCACTTTGTCACATAAAAAAGGCCACGGACTGCCACGAATCTAGAGCCACATGAATTCCTCGACCTCCGTCTGGTGGTCGTTCTTTACTGCTACGACCATTACGAGGCTTCCCATTTGTGAAGCTTTCTTCCCGTCAGTTCTACGAGCTATTTGGCCGGTCCATTGCCATTTACACTTGCTTTATTAACTTCAGCTATCCGATATTAACTTTCACAGAAATAGAACACGTAGCCGCCACGACATAAACACCCCCAGCCTCCAGGCTACGGACCTTATATAGGGCATGCACTCAAGGAGTGTGTCAACGTTATTGATGAGATGGGAGCACTCGCTAGTGTGAAAATGCTTTATAAGTGCAGTAGGGCTGGCTAGAAATAACATACGCTAGATGTAATAGACACTTATTAAAGTTTAGTTTTAAGTGTGAACGAAAGAGAGTTGTGGTGGGTACGTTTCCATAAAACATTTAAAATACATAATATACGCATATCCGAAACAATTTTCTGTAGTAAATATCTGTCACACAAGTAGTTGTCTGGTGTGGGAATCGAACCCACGATCTCGCTGCTGAAGCCAATACCTTGTCAACTGTGCCAAGGAGTCATAGTCACATTCTTTTTTTTTACGCGAAAAGTTGTCAAACGAGCAGACGGTGCACCTGATGTTAAGTGAATACCGCCGCCAAAGTCATCTGCCACACCCGAGGGTTACAGATGCGTTGGCAACCTTTTGAAAATTGGGCTCCGGATACCTCACTCGCCAGACGAAACGCGAAAGTATTTGTCATACTTCCACTTTACGCTGGTCTTCTGTGAAGTCGTGGTACTTACCCGAACGGGCCTGCCCTTTCGTGCAACAGCCGAGGCTGCTGCGTGGCCCTACCACCGTCAACTATATACTTCATGTACAGAATTAACAAAGTTTTATTACACTCGTATCAGTTGAAAATAAGAGTCTATAATTATTTAGTTAATATTTATGTTTAAACGTCGGGGAAGAAAGGTTCTCGAGTGGCAGCCTCATACTGGCCATCGCAGTGTAGGACGACCCCCCACTAGATGGAGTGACGACCTGTGCAAGTGTGCGGGAAGTCGATGGATGCAGGTGGCTCAGTATCGTACTTCATGGCAGTCTATGGGGGAGGCCTATGTTCAGCAGTGGACTCAAACAGGCTGAAATGATGATGATGATGAAACGTCGCCGAGTATCCTATCTGTGTGAACGATTATGACAAAATTTAATACACAGCCCGGCAGCACCGGCTTTGGTCCGTCACTTGGACCAAACCGTGACTGTGACGTAAAGGGATCGGCTAACGAACCGCGAGACTGTTGAACCTATCCGAATTCTCATGTACAGGGTGTTCGCGTTTGCGGAATTTAAATTTTAAATTACGCTCGCATTGTAACAGTCGCTGATGGAGTGATCCCGCCTCCCCCCCTCCAGTGACGTCGCGAGTCGGAATATGGTAATGTCGACGTAATGACAGTGCAGATGGACTTCCAAAAGTTGCCCGTTCTTACGCTCCTGTTCGGAAGTGAGCCGTTGCGAAGCGTTGGAACAGACCCATTAGCATTTTTACCAAAGTAGAAATCCGCGAATCCCACTTGGCTAATGATCCACACGGAAGAAAACGGAGAAACTCGCCATACACTTGCATAAGTTATGTAAATTTTATTTTATTTTTTGTGAGAAAGGAATTGAGTTCTGATCTAAGTCTAAAGTATTGGCCGTGCTCATAAGATCAGTTTTGGGAGGCAATTGAACGTTTTTTCTTATGTGAAAAGGTAGCAAGAGAGCTGGCGATTCACATGATATGTTTAATATGTTTATATACGTTATTTACTTTCATGTATATGTTTTAAATATAATTATATGTGAATATGTATATAAATGTTATTTTAACTTAAAATTTAATTTGAAACTTTTTACACCTGCCTCTTTTGTCTCTGCGTCGCCCAAAGGTTGACTGGGAGAGAATGCCTTAGGCATTAAGTCCGCCTATACACAATGTTAATTTTTTTGTGTAAAAGTTTAAATAAATAAATAAATAACCGCCACTATTAGACATTTGCAATACCCGTAGGCTTGCAGATGGGTTGCCATCTTTTAATAAAGTGGTTCCGGTTACCTCACTCACCAGACGATACGCAGAAGTGTAATACTTCTTCTTCACGCTGGTCTTCTGTGAGCTGGTGGTACTTCCCCGGACGGACCTGCCCACTCTTGCAACAGTGCGAAGACTGTTTCACTTCCCTGTACCATCCCCCTAAACTCAGTCAATCAGGGTTAAATTTTGATTCAGATCTACATATAAATTTCACTGCGTTAGTAATTTAAATTAAATAATTTAAATATAATGCTGCGGAATTAGTTAAACGATTTATTGGAGGTAGGTTATTGAAAAAAATCGTTTATATTTAATTAGCATACCGTTTATATGCGAATTATACCCAATGTGGAATCAGATAACATGTTTATAAGTAGTTCGAATAACTCAATTCATACAGCAAATGATTTCGTACGCGATTGCATTAATTCAATATAACTCTAATCATTTATAATTTATTGATGCTATTAAAAGGGGATGGAAGCTCCAATTGAATTAATTCTCCACTAGATAAAATATATGCTGTTACCGCAGCAAAAGTATTGCATTTATCACAAACAGCCAGGATAGGTATTGGGTTATGTGCCAATTGCACTGGCGGAGTACCATTTGACCCAACCAGGCCGAATGCACTCGAGAAGAGGAAGCCCAATAGACCGACATACACTTGCCACTCCCCTGATCAATGGCAGGGGATCCATGAAGGATCTTTCCATCTTAAAAAAAGATAGGATAGGTATGGGAAACATATAAGACAGTTTTTTTTTATGTGATAAAATGGCAAACGAGCTGCGGGTCCACCTGGTGTTGAGTGATAACCGCCGCCCGTGGACATTTGCAACACCCGTAGGGTTGCAGATGCGTTGCCACCTTTTAATAAGCTGGGCCCCGGCTACCTCACTCATCAGACGAAACGCAGAAGTGTAATACTTCTTCTTCACGCTGGTCTTCTGTGAGGTCGTGGTACTAACCCGGATGGACCTGCTCATTCGTGCAACAGCGAACACTGTTGCGTGGTCCTACCACAGTTAAAAGTGTATGAACAAGGTACATACTCGTGGCGAGTTTTTATAGTTTACAGCATTCGTGCTGTTAAATATTATCTGTAATTTACAGTTTATTTGATGTTATACGATAACCGATGAATGAAAAATCATCTATTCATCGATATAATAAACATACATTTCATCTATCGATAGTCATTTTTTTTATTCTGTGGCCGATTACACGGAATACCAGCGAGAGGGGAAATGTTATATCTTACGTTGCGCCTTGTGAGTGAGGTAACCAGGGCCCACTTTATTGAACGGTGGCAACGCATCTGCAGATTACTTGCCATCTCTTACGTAAAAAAGGCAACACTGCAGCTAAAAACCCGGGGGAGAGCTGTTTACGTTAATCGAACTGGCAGCCTATTACTTAAACATACATCGATATCATTGAAAAGAGAAAGTGGGCAAATGTTTTCCGAGGAGGAGAGAGCGGAGCCGAAAAAAATAAAACAAGGGTAATAAAATAAAAAATTCAAACCACCCTGTACATGCGCTCATCCGAAATTGCGAGGGGTCCACAATAGAAGCGACATTCGACTCTATCGAGTGCAGTGTAGAGTGGAAATTCCGTTGCACTTAACTTACAGTTAACAACGAACAATTCTGAACTCTACCAGTTTGAATCTAGGGTTTTCCGTTTGAATTTCAACCGGCAGGCCGTGCCGTTGAATTTTAAACACTGTACCGTTGCACATCGGTCGTAATTCGTTTGTACTCTTCACACCGTTTCGCATTACCATTTCGAATATATTGAGAACAAATTTGATACATCGGATTAATGCTCAAGGGTGAGGGAGGGGGGGGGGGGGGGGGGCTGTTCCATGCGACTACGTGGAGGTTTGAGGGTAACTTATCGCACTTCTAAAGTTCAGAAGCGAATGTTCTAAGCTAATAGGATTGTTTAACCTTGATAGCTCATTTAACGGGCGTTAGCTTTAATAATAAGTACCTGGAGGTTTTATTTTTGAGGTAAATCGTGTATTTAGGAAATAAAAAAAAATACAAAAAATATAACAATGATCTGGTATAGGAAAAAGAGTAAAAAAAAATAAGTGTGTAAATGATCATGACACGAACCGCGGCCTTATGTTTCGGGGCCGCCCGATTACCGACCGAGCTATTATTATAACATTTTTTATTTCGGCGAAATTTACAGTCATATTCGAATGATATTTTTCATTCCCTGAAAACAGGGATTAAAGGACATTTTTCTAAAAATGAAACCTAACTAGATCGATTTTTCGCCCCCGAATCTACGCACATACTAAATTTCATGAAAATCGCTGGAGCCGTTTACGAGATTACGATTATATATATATATATATATATATTTAATTGCTCATTTAAAAGTATTAGATAAGATATATTTAATCACATAGACGCTTGCGCGTTCTTATGAAACTTCGATATTTTACAATAAAATTAATGAGTTCGTAAGTTACCCCCGGTTCGGAAAGCAGTTTCTGTTGAGAAGAAACCGGCAAGAAACTCAACAGCTTAGTTTAATATACTCGAGCAACCCGAGTTCATTACGTAGTGCCGGCACCAATGAAATAGTTAATTTTAAATGCTGACTTACGTGCTCAGCGGTGAAGGCAAACGTGAGGGAACCTGCATATTTTTGAAATAATAAAAAAAATATTCCGAAGATAATATGCGAAGTGCACCAATCTTCTTCTTCTTTGATTAATGGCCTCTCTTGAAAGAGTTCTGCTAATGTCATACTAAATCTAATTATAATGATATTATTCATACGTCAGATTTATTTTTCGTAAACATTTAATATTTAGCATTTTGTGACTAGGTCTTGAAAGGTTGAGTCTTCAAAAGGGACATGCAATGACATACTTTTTTAAGTAAACAAAAAACGCAAAAATGAAATCAGTTATTTTGGAAGTATAATCAAAAATCCACAGAGGAGGCCTTTCTCAGCAGTGGGACATGTAGTCTGTCACATTTTCACCTTATTTTACACCGACAAGTTTAACTATTACAATAGCTACTGTAGAGACTGCTTTTATGCAAGAAAATACAGTGAATAACATTAGTCACGCTCGTATGAAATGTGTGTCCAAGTGTCAGGCTTAGAGTTAATAATCTAGATGGGAAATGATGTAAAAAAAACGGAATATACAAGTCTCCTGCAACGAAGTAGTTACATTAAGCTCGGTATTTCCCCTACCAAACTCTCTTTTATCTTTTTTTGCTAACAAACGCAGTCACGAATCCGCCCTTATCGGAAATTGTCCGGAAATTGGGCGACTGTATAACTCGAAACTGTAACGCAATACAACTTTATTTGGATAACTCGAACCAAATCTCGATATATTTCTCGAAATTAACCTAATTGATGCATGCTGAGAGGGAGGTCTATATTCAGCAGTGGCCCCAAACACGCTGAAATGGTGATGATGAGACCCCTTGCGATTAGTTAAAAAAATCTAACAATAATAATGCGATCCGCTCATATATAGCTTTCTGGCCGTCTGTCTAGATTAATTCTACAAATGTAGAGGTGTAGGTTAATTCTTCAGAGACGCTGAAACAATACCTTAAGTTTAATCTTCCACTTAAATATCAAAGATGAATCACCGTACAAAACAATCAACAGTAGAAATTAATAAATTTACGCCCCACCAGAAAAGGATGCAAGTAAAAATACAAGACTCGAATTTCTTGTAGACTAATGTAATATAAGGTCAAATTAAAGTTTAAAAAACCGGCCAAGTGCGAGTCGGACTCGCGCACTAAGGCACACAAAGGTACTATTATCTATAAAAACGGCAAAACATCATGTTTGCTGTATGGGAGCCATTTTTTATTCTGTTTTTTAGTATTTGTTGTTATAGCGGCAACAGAAATACATCATCTGTGAAAATATCAACCGTCAGATCGTGAGATACAGCGAAGTCTTAGTAATCGGGTCCCGTTTTTACCCCATGGGTGCGGAACCCTAAAAAAGAAAAACAGAATATACAAAAGAAAACCCCGTGATTGAATCAATGTCCTTTATATTACGAGCAATGATTAAAACATCGACCGAAGAATAATTAGCAACAACGACGATCGCTCGAGCGTCAATTACGAAAAGATTGATTAACGGAACCGAGCGAGGCGCTCATTAGAGCGATATTATCTGTTTGCTTCTTGAATACGGTATTAGGAGTGGTCCAATTGCGAAGTTTTATGTAGCAAACAATTTAGATATTTAGAGAGCCTACGTCGACAACGTCCTCCTCTCAATTGTGCCTCCTCAGATGATACAGGTGTTTTTCAACCGACTTCAAAATAGGAGGTTCTCAATTCGACTGTATTTATTTTTAATGTTTGTTACCTCAGGAACTTTCGACCTCCTTTTATTTGAAAGCTGGTGCTTCCCAAGTGGTCCCATGTTAATTTCATTGGTATCGGATCTAGGGATCCGGAGATATTTAGGGAGCTCCTGAAAAATCAATTATAAAATGAATACAAAGCGAGATATTTGAAGCACCGGATTTCGAATAAAAAAAAGAATCACCAAAATCGGTCCGCTCACTCGAAAGTTCTGAGGTAACAAACATAAAAAAAATACAGTCGAATTGGGAACCACCTTATTTTGAAGTCGGTTAAAAATTGACTTGTTTGAATGCGCAGCGCCTTTTAGCCTACCCGGTCTCCCTGATAGTTTTACCTCGCCAGAATCGAAACTATGAGCCGACCCAACGCTTGCGTTGCTCCGTTCCCATTGCTGATTAGGCACGTACCACGTGGCGCGTGAAGTAACGTCACGCTCGGAGGGGTAGCGGGCTCGAGCACGACTTGGTTAGCGCCCTCATGCCTCGATTTACTCGCGGGAGTTTCTATTTTGAGTGGCGACGTGGCCATATTGCGTAACTAGCTGTTAAACGCGGCTTCGCCCGCGCGGCCGCTGTTTTTTTCCTAATTATTTGACACCGGTCATCACCTATATTTTGGACAGTTCACACAATACCCTTATAAATTATAGCCTATCTTTTATTCTGATGTATAATCTATGTTATTTTATAGTTTCATTAAAGTCTATTCTGTAGTTTTTGCGTGAAAGAGTAACAAACATCCATAAGTGTTATAAGTAAGGAATTAACATTATAAGTAAGGAAGTAAGGATGAATTAAGTAAGAATGACATTCAAACGTAAAGTGAATTCAACGCGAGTGTCGTAGAGTCAGTTGTGCTTTTCTTATGTGAAAAGCTGCCAAGCTGACATGTGGTTCCTCTGATGTTAACTGAATACCGCCGTCCATGGACATCTGCTACTCCCGGGCCACGCAGCAGCCTCGGCTGTTACACGAATGGGCAGGCTCGTCCGGGTAAGTACCACGACCTCACAGAAGACCGCCGTAAAGTGGAAGTATAATACTTTCGCAATTCGTCTGGCGAGTGAAGTAGCCGGAGCCCAATTTTCAAAAGGTTGTCAACGCATCTGCAACCCTCGGGTGTAGCAGATGTCTATGAGCGGCGGTATTCACTTGACATCATTTGAACCATATGGTTGTGCAAGCGAGCATATGCTCGCTTGACAACTTTTCACATAAAAAAAATAATAATAAATTTTGGCTTGCTCGGTATGTGTACTGCATAAGGTATATTTAAATATAGAAAATAGAAAATATTGCGAAGTGAAATAGCAGAAATAGTTTTTATTATACATTTGAGTAATGTAGATCACATCTTTCATTTAAAATTATTTTATATCGGAGAACTTTCAAACGTTACCACAATCAAGTCGCCATTAACTTAAGCAGTTGCCATCCAAGCGGTCGCTAACGAAATGAAGCGGCTGAGATTCTCACTCAGACAGATTTTCAATAATCCAAAGTGCTCTAAGCCGAGAATTTTCGACCGATAAGTTTTTCATTTGTTCGGTTTTTGTTTCTCATCAACAGAAAACCCGCTTCTCCATTTAAACGGTTTTAGAGTGAGAACTTTGTCACTGCTAAGTAGACTTTCAAACTCCCAAACGTTCGGTCGGTAAAGACGGAGACTCGTAATAATTAAAATTTCACTAACTATGCTTCGATCCGAAATCCACTGAACGGTATAGAAGATGACGCGAAATGTTCTCGTTTATAGTCTATAGTAATTATTTATAACTAGCTGCCCCCGCGACTTCGTCCGCGTGGAATTTAAAATGAATAAAATTTCTGAAAATGAAAGTAGCCCCAGTTACTTATTACATCAGCTATCTGCCAGTGAAAGTCCCGTCGAAATTACGGACAAAAATTGTAAAAAAAAATTATTTTTGCATACATCCATACGCATTTTGTAAAAGGCGGTTATTTTAATATCACAAACAGACACTCCAATCCTATTTATCGGTATAGAATTTTAGAACGAAAGAAGAAAACCTTCTCACCGCCGCTAGAATCGAGCCGATGAATGCGATCGATTGCCACAGCGGTGAAGAACTTTTCATCCTTTTATTTCTGGAAATTTTAATGTTTCATCGTAAGTGCATAAATTAGCACGGGGGAAATTTAAATTATAGAAAACTATTGAAAACTTATAGGTGGTAGGGCCACGCAACACTGTTGCACGAATTGGCAGGTCCGTCCGGGTAAGTACCACGACCTCACAGAAGACCGGCGTAATGTAGAAGTGTTACACTTCTGCGTTTCGTATGTATTATACACGCACTCGCCGTACGTGGGAACGCATTTGGAACCGAACGGGTTGTAAATGTCCGTGGGTAGGCGGTTATCACTTAACATCAGGTGAACCGCCAGCTCGTTTGCCACTTTCTCACAAAAAAAAAACATTAAGAGAGTTTAGCGTTTGTGACGGGTAAATGTGTAGGAAATGTGGTAGAAGTGACAGATGGCGATCGTATTAAGTACCACGTACCAGCGTTTTGTTACGTAAGTTTAGACCAGACATACCCATATATATATATATTTGTTTCGCCTACAAAAGGTATATAGGTCGTTCAAGGCAAAGTGTGCGCATGCATAATAAAATCCCACAGTCCAGATTAAATCTGCCACTTGATCAATTTGAAGGCCACATTAAAAGTAAACTTATTGCTTAAGCATATTATACCATTGCGGTACCTTTATCTCGACGACGCCAAAGACTGGAGTTAATACTGCTGACACTCACGTAGGCTAAAGTAAGACTATTATACCTATTTTATATTGTAAACTGATCGTTTTTGAAACGAGCAACTGTTGAGTATCTTGCCAGTCTCTAATCAACAGAAAGTGTTTTCCGAACCGGTGGTAAATTACGAAATTACGTATCGATTTTATCCGCTGTCTGTCTGTCTTTCTGTTATGTATACGGGCAGGGAGCGAGTTAAACAACCGGCAGCTTGCTATGCACTGATTTATTGACAGGGCGCGCGGCGCAGGCACGCATACTTATACATACATAACACTTTCTATCCGTCGGTCTGTCTGTCTTTCGGTCTGTCCGTCTGTCACCAGGCTGTATCTCGTGAACCGTGACAGTTAGACAGTTGAAATTTTCACAGATTATCTATTTCTGTTGCCGCTATAACAACAAATACTAAAAAAAAAATCGAAATTTTATAAGAACGCGAAAGCGTCTTTTTGGATAAAGATATTGAATTTTCAATTATATGCGTGAATATATCGTTTCGCGTCTGTGGCAGATACATAAAAAGTGCACATGAATCATGGAGATAAGGAATCCGAAATCTCTTAAACCTCTGGCTGACTTGAGTGTATATATTTTATTTAAATGTAATCCGTTCCACCAGGTGGCCATTTTTGTTTTCATTGCAAATAAAACTTTATTCTGGATTTTGTCGGGTTCGATTCCTTTATCGCTTGCGCCTCTTTATGAAACGTTGATCTTATATAAATAATTGAAACATAAGTTCGTAAGTAACTTACCACCGGTTCTGAAGGCAGTTTCTGTTGAGAAGAGACCGGCAAGAAACTCAACAGTTGCTCTTTATAGGGTTCCGTACCCAAAGGGTGAAACGGGACCCTATTACTGAGACTCCGCTGTCTGTCTGTCTGTCCGTCTATCGCCAGACTGTATCTCATGAACCATGATAGATAATTTAATATTTCACAGAAGATGTATTTCTGTTGCCGCTATAACAACAAATATTAATAAACAAAATGAAAAATATAAAAATTGTTTGCTGTTTAATAGATAACGACACAGAACCCTTCGTACGCAAGGCCGACTCGCACTTGGCTGGTGTTTTGAAACAACCGAAGACGATTGAGTCGGAGCTCATTGAATTCGAGCACAATCCCGGATTTAACGGGCATTATGACGATCCGACAGCAAAAAAGGGGGGTTCACCGTTACAGAAAAAACCAGCCGACGTAGACCCCCCATTGTTGTCGGAGCGAAATTTCCACAGATCATTCGATATTACCAAAGTGGAGGGCGGCAGAGGTCTCATTGAATTCGTCACATCGATTAAAATTGCGGATTACGCGTTGCCCTCGTGAATGCTAACGACTCTACGCTTTTTTGTAGACTCCCGGCAAATGAGGCTCTACCTCATCACCTACATCATTCACCTGGAGGATGATCACCGAAACGAACATTAGGAAAGTGAGTCGCTGTAAATGTACACCGGCCATTCAGGAGATAATCCCTGTCATTTGATACGCGTAAATATTCTTTTTTTAACCGACTTTAAAAAAGGAGGAGGTTTCTCAATTCGACCGTTATATTTTTATTTTATTTATGTGTGCTCGTGGATAACTTCGTTGTTTATGAACCGATTTTGATGATTCTTTTTTTGTCGCAAAGGAGATATCCCAAGGGTGGTACTGTATAAGGAAATCCGGATCTGATGACGGCATCCCAGAGAAATCGAGGGCCATCATTGAATGTTATAGGTATTAACAATGTTTTTAATTTTCTGATTGAAGTGGGTTTTTCTTTTGTTAAAAATTATACTTGTTATGTGAAAAGTTGCCAAACGAGCAGACGGGTCACCTGATGGTAAGTGAATACCGCCGCCCATGGACATCTGCTCCACCCGAGGGTTACAGAAGCGTTGACAACCTTTTGAAAATTGGGCTCCGGCTACCTCACTCACAAGACGAAACGCCAAAGTATTTGTCATACTTCCACTTTACGCTGGTCTTCTGTGAGGTGGTGGTACTTACCCGGACGATCCTGCCGATTCGTGCAGCAGCCGAGGCCGCTGCGTGGCCCTACCACCGTTAAATATTCATCTCTCTCGGCTGGCGGGAGCTTGGTGGTGCTGACCTAGGCTCGGTTGCCATGGATAGTTTGATTCACATACGGAACTGTGGTATGTTGTTTCTATTTTAGTGTCGAATATGTTTAGATATAGGGTAGGCGCAAAAAACGAGAAGATAGACGATTTCGGGCGGTGGACCAGTTTCGCTATAAACGTTGAGCAAATACGAGTGTCTTATTTTTCAGTTTTTAACAATCTGTAAACGAAACGAATCTTTAAACGACCTTGTAATAATTTTGAAGGACTCTCTCCTGTAGTGCGATGTTCGGTATTTCAGTAAACTAATAGAAATCTAATGAGAGCCGTGTCTACGTCTAAATACCTAGTGAGGGCTTCCTAAGCATTTGTGTGGGCTGGATCTGTTTATTCCCCTGGATAGTTGACGTCAGGCAGGTGGCTGGTCGGATAAAAGCTGGCCTGTACCGCTGACAGCATGACTCACGCTTTGGCTGGAAAAAATACGGGATTGACGAAATAAGGAGGGATGGCATTATTTTTAATTTTATTGTTCAATATTTCGAACCCCTTTTAGCGTTCATGTTAATCATTATTCAGAAGTTAAGTCAAGCATAACCATTCAGCGAGGAAATGCAGCTAGCGTTCTTGGCACAATGCCGCGTGAAGTAGCTTTACTCGTATTAGATAA